GGACCGGGTTGGTTCTGGATCGTATTGTCTTTGCAGTTCCTTCCAACTACGAATGCGTCGCTCAATGATAGTCTCTTCGAAGTACGACAAGGCGTGTCCAAGACCACGCGTACCTAAGAGAAGTGGTAGTCATGTACAAGTTCCGTGTGACCGTGTTTTTTTAGGGGAACAATGAGAGACTGTCCGACGAAAGTGCTTTCCGCATGCTGTTTTCGTCTCAGATTAACAAGGACATGAGGTGTATTTTTCGATGGACGTTGGCAGACCAGAGCTGAGTGGGATTCTACCCGTACTTTAAAAAGCTCGTATAAGACTTCAGCACCTAAAATGTGATTGATTGGTTGCTGAAATTGGCTAGTTGGCTAGTTGAATTTCAGGTGGAATCTAATAAGATCACGTGTTAACAGCGGCTGAGAAAAACTCGATTGCGGCCTTTGGAAGCACGAGAAATTCAATAAGAGAGCGAATCTTCGAGTGGAACTTGAACATGCACATTCCGAGGAAGCTTGCCCTATTCCAGCGATGGGAAGGTGGATTCGTTTATAATTGGCTTTGAAGAGTTGCGGAAACAATTCAGTAGCAAAGCAGCGCTAACTGCTGGAGTCTAGCAGATCTTTAGCTTATCTAGCTTTAGCCAAAGACCCCACCACCCGGTAAGACTGCCGACAAAAAAGTCACCACCCAACAATATGGATTCTGTAGCTACTGGAAGTTAAACGGCCATGCGATTGAATGAGGAGGGGCCACCAACTGGAGCTGGTTATGAAATGGGGCAAAACGTGAGCGGTCAGTGACTGGAAGTAGATGCTCAAGATCAGGCTCCCTGTCGGGATTAACCGGAAAAGCAACTATTCGACAAACAAAGTAGTAATCAAAATCACACACTGCGTCTGTAGGAGGTGTTGAGACTGACGGGTACACCCTAACAGGTTCACAAAGTCGGCGGATCATGTGGACATCGCATCGGAAATCAACAGATTCGTGATTCGGCTCTAATATCATTTCACATCACATGAAACGAACATCAGTGGACGACCTTGTATCATCGAGATGTTTAACGTTGTTATAAGTTTGCCGGAAGGTTTGTCCAGAATACAATGAATGCAAGGCTCAGGACAATTATTCGCAACAATATGCTCTCCCAAGTAGAAATCGATGAGGTTGGAAAGGAGGTGCAGAAAGAGCTACGGAGGAGAAGCAACTGATGCGTTTCGGTGGAGCTCGGCAAGGTCCAGTGCTTAAACCGTGGAGGAGGGACATGGTTCTGTAGCGCTGGTGGAAGTATCAGAACGGGACCCTACATTTCCAGACGAACCACACCCTAGATTACATGTTATTACGAGATTTAGTCTACCATTAGTAGACGCATTGTCACACCACAGAATACTAAAGGTCAGTATTCACACAAGTTAACGTATGTAGTCAATATTATGAACTTAAATGTTCTCCCACTGCATTTGGAGACGGCCCAGTACCTGGAAAACCTACACTTCATAGTTGTTGCACCTGTGCAGTTGTCGTGATTACTATGAGTCTGGGCTACTACGTTACGTCAAGAGGAGAGGTATCTCATTAAATTCCAGAAAGGCATGAATCAGTATGGAAAAGGAGGTTCGACCTGCGGATCGAGACTAACCGAATCGCGATTGGTAGACTGATTGCGTTCAGAAATGGTGAAAACTGTCAAGATTGTGACGGCAGGGCAGGTAGCTGCTACCATCGCTGGAAGCTCACCAGCTGACGATGAAAATAGACACACTGGTACAGCAGTCAAGCGTCCTATCGAAGAGATTGGGGCATTACAATAAATCCGCTAAACATCGTTAACATATCCGTTAGTTCAGTGACAACAAAGGGTCTTCCAGAAATCGGCCAAGCCATTAACTTTTGGTCCGAAATATGGGCTGCCCCTATAGACCATCGCATCGGGCAACCTTGGCTATGGCAAGAGGAGAAAAACTGGGCTGAAATCGAAGAAATGCATGTCGTCATCGTTTAAGAATCAGATGTCCTCTAAACTACAAGATTCTAGAGAAACTGGACAAGCCCAGGTCCTGATGGAGTACACAATTTCTTGTTTAAAATACTGACCGTAGCACATCCCAAGGTGGCTGAGTGGCTCCCCCTGCGGATAATTGCAAACACCCCCCCCCCCCCCTCCCTTAACTGTATACGTAGTTAATGAACAGTACCTTATCGATTGTTGTTTGAGCGGTTTTTATCAGTTTAAAGCTGTAATGAATTTTTGGCAGTGAGACAGATTCACATTCGTGTTTATTCTCTCGGAAGGAGTTAATGAATGAGTTTTTAGAATGATTTTCTGATCACTACTCATCACTGAAAATCTACTAGTAGGGTAAACGCACCAATAGTAGCGGTACGTTAGTGTAGTGTGGCTTATGGAGTCTCATTTCTGAAAAATTTGATCTATGTTTTCTTTCGTTATAAAGTTTGGCAAGTTACAGTCTCTATCCATGTTGTTTCTTGCTAATTTATACCTTGCTGCTTAGTGTTCCGGCTTTTGACATGGAGCCCAGATCATTTTAGATAGACAAATGCTTGCAGTTTCTATCAAATCCTGCCTAGTTGCTTCCCGAGATCCGAAGTTTAGATCTAGCTCACTTTTAGTATGCTTGTGAGTTTTCATGTGTCGAAGATTTCCAATGTTCCATCAAATCTGGCACTATGAGTTTCAACTAGAGTTTCAAACAAAATCGAGAAATCTCGTTGCGTGGTTGTTTATTTTTTTAAACACACTGCAAATTATGACAAAATGTATGCGAGATTCCTCGATTTTCTTTGAAACTCTAGTTGAAACTCATAGAGCCACCCCAGTATTATAGGCCAAATGGTCAGTATTATAGGTCAGTCAGTTCTACGTGTTAATCAAATTGTGGGTGGCCCATAATACTGGGTTGACTGTATTTGTTCTATCCTACTTCAAAAGAACAGCATTCTTCATCTTGCATTAGATATTTTCCAGTCGCTATAGTTCCAGAATGAACAATAATTGCAATTTTGAACTACAATTTACACGAAGCGCTCTGGTGTCTTAAAAGTGCTTGACAGCATGAAACTATGTTTACGTTGGCCAAACTGCCAAAATCATTACCATGATCAAGTGTTGCTTATTAAACCATTGTAACTAGTAGTAAAAAAAAATTGAGAAAATTACTGAATGAGGCGGACTATGCTAAGGGATGATCGAATCGCCTTGACGCAGTGTAGTTTATCCGGTTTTAATCACAAAATTCTTCTTCTGAAGATAGCATTAGCCAGCACCAAGGCGAAAGAACGAACTACAATAATCTCACTCTAACTTTGGATCGTTGCAGTCTTACACTAATAAAAAATTATATCGTTTACTTCATGACCATTTGTAGTAGGACGGCTTTTAGTCTTCTCTAGTTGATGATTTTTAAATTTAAATACCGTACTCATAGTTAGATCGATTGCTACAGCTGTTTTCAGCTACCACACTTCCAAGTGAAACTGCTACACCACTTCATACCTATGATGTTATCCTCACCGTAGAAAAAATCGTAATTCATCGCTACAAGCAGTCATTCATTTATTATACAATATTTACAGTTGATTTGCTTCAATTATTTATTCATTGGTGAGTGATTTAAAAATTTTGCTATTAATGTTCGCTGTCTACTCTCCCTCAATTTCGTTTTATTTTTTGTTTAACTCTGCCGGGGTTATCTCGATTTATAAAATGTAGCATTGGAAATGTTCATAATGATGGAATCGATAGCAGCAGCAGCAGCAGTAGCAGTTCTGGTGCAGGGATGATTAAAATTAAATGTAATGAGGTCACATCCGTCAAACGCTGCCAGACCAGATGTGCACAGAGCTCAAGCGAAAATGAGCGGAAAAAGCATCCTGCTGGGTGTGTTGTGAGTACCTTTCTACAGTACATGCACATCCCACTTTATCAGGATTAAATGATGCCATCGGCAGTGTACCTACCTACTATTGCCATCTGAATGACACGAATGGCAGAAAACATAGAGAAAAGACAGCGAAAAATCCACTCAACCTTTTCTAACCAAAGAAAAACCGGAACATGGAGGCTTACAGGAGCTCGGAGAGATGATTTTCATCAGGAAACATTTCTATTAGTATTCAGCCAGCAGTGGTATCTCACCATCAGAGAAAATGTTGTTCTTGCCCCCTCCTCCTTCTTTTGGTTTAATACGTCCCTACTGGGACTTTCGCCGGCCCCCAACTTAGTGTTCTTTGAGCACTTGCACAGTTGTTAATTGAGAGCTTTCTAAGACTGTACCATGTTTGGATTAGTATAACTGTGTGGCCAGGCAAGTACAGTCGGCCCGAAAAATACCTGCCACCAGTTATCGAACCCAGCCGCCATCAGCATTGTGTTGCTTTATAGCTGTGCCTTTACCGACTGAGCCATGGAAGGCCCTGACGTAATAGATTATTTTAGCTATTGGCCTTATTTTTCTGTGTAGATATGAGCAAAGAACAGAGCAGTTTTTTGAGGAATAATATTTCTGCTTTGTAGTTATGTGAAATATACGGCGTTCACACTATAGCTGATATAAGGTAATATAAGTCACTAGATATCAAGTGTCATATTAATGATATTCAGTGAAAATTTGACTTATTAGTAGTCATTCATTAACCATGGATACAAAAGTGATAGTTTGTTAGTGGTTGCTGGAATAATAATATTGAATTCAATAAATATTTCTCTGGTAACCCTGTTATGAACGTTGATTTTTTGTGTTTTACAATACTCAAAGTAAGAGATACGCGAAAAATCAAAATGCATTTCGGTAGCATATTTTGCAACCCTTGCCACAAGGTAGCGTATAACATGTTTTTTTTTAAATTATGAAATAATTAGATACTATGATCATATTTTGAATTGGTAAGATACAAGAAGAGGTTTCAAAGAATGTGTTTGACATATTAAACCTGTTTATTTCACTTCATGAGAGTCACAATCAGCGATTTTTTACACACTCACTCAGCGATCAGCAAATCGCTGAGTGTGACTCATAGAAATCAAAATGTACAGGTTCTATGTTACAAACGCATACGTTGTAACCTCTTCTTGTAAGTTACAAGTAAAACATGTCATCATACCATCTTTTGATTTTATTATTCCGAAAAACATTATTTTAACTGAAATGAGTATTTGCAAGCTTAACATGACTTTTCTTTTCAATTTAATGCACGTGCAAAGCAATAATGCAGTGCATCGCAATGTTTTGCACATTTCTTGGGGCAGAGATCAATTTATTATCAGAGATGGCATATTATTTTTGAATTCAAAAACGAGTTAAATTGTTAGTGCTTTAATTTTTTTTTCTCGAATACAGTACTCCTCAATTGTATCTCATTACAATTAGAAATCCACTAAATATTTCAAATGAGAATGTTCATATGGCTCAGATTGTCACAGTTATATTACCTATATCATACTTTCTATGATTTACTTTTTATCAGCTGCATATTTTACGATAAAAATTCTGGGTAAAAAAAATCGTGTAAATTGAGTTAAAAAACAATAGATAGGAATAAGGTGATCGAAACTTGTATCATGAAAACCGGTTATAACTCGTTACAACACCCTAGATTGAATATGGCTTTAGAAAGTTCTTAATTAACTACTGTGAAAATGCTCATAAAATGCTATGTTGAGGGTAGGCGTAGAAGAAGGCCCCGCTCGAATTGAAAACAAGGATTACCCACATACATTACGATGGCCTAATACACTAAAATTACTAACAAAATTACCGATAAAAAACAGAAAATTAATTTAAATTTGAGTTAAACTTTTGAAGAAAAAAAAACGGATTAAAAGGCCTTGTAGCATTGTACCGTCAATACTCCCCTTAAAATACTAAATCGACTGTCTTTCCATGAGCGCTCTTCCACAGAAGATAAAAATTCGAAGATACCGCATAGGTAATAGTTTCCAATCTCATTTTCCTTTTCGTATCGACTTTTGCCTTCCGATCCATTGCCCCAAGAACAATTTAATTCGCTTGGATTTGTTTCGTTTTGCCATTCTCTGCTGCTACTGCGGCTGCTGTGCTGTTCCACCCACTCACTACACTATCTCGCCGTTTTATACAACTCGAAGCCTTGTCTGTACATTATAAATAGCATAAGCATGATTATGTTTTCTCTTCTCTTTGCACACGCTCCCATTTGTGTCGCAAAATTATCTTAGCCGTGCATCATCGTCGTCGTAGGCCCTTGATGGAAGGAGGACGAGCTACCCTGTGACCCTGAGTTTGTTCGTCTGGTAGGTACACTAGACGAGAGGCGAAGGAGTTGCAAAATAATTTGAATAGAATTTAAATTAAAGAAAGCCCAAATGACTCGCACGCCTCCTCAGGCTGGAAGTCCTCTCTATTTCTTTCGCTTTATGTAGGAAGAACACCACCTAATGACCCTAGTGGTAGTCCATATGCGGTGCATCGAGGCCGGTGTGAAGTGTCAGTGTGACGCCACGATTAACACTGACGGCCGGATAGAAGACGCCATACAGATCACGGAACGCGACCGACCCCTGAGGCATCTCGTTGACGATGAAGTGCAACGTGTGGCGCTCAAGATCCAAAAGCACGCCGATGGTGCTGCCGGTGGAGATTCCTCCTTCCACCCGACGTTCGTGTACGGAATTATGCTGGAACCATGACCGTTGACGATCGATGTACATAGCAAACCCCTTATCGTCCTTACCTGGTATGGAAAGGGGTACAATAAACGACATGGTAAAAAACGAAAAATGGTTACCGGGGCCAGCACAAACGACTTACCCAGCATCTTATCCCGGGCCACATCAATCCGAGCTATTCCAAAGGCGGGATCCGTGTCGGCCGTGTATTTGTCGATGGTAAACTCCCAGTAGTGCACACCCCGGGAGAAACCGACCGATCCAAGGGCTACTCGGTGCTCCCATCCGTCGGCCGATACAGTCCGGTTGTCGTTGCTGAAGTTCAGTCCGGAGCAGGGTCCACCACTGAGAGTCGAGTCAAAGGTGAACCACGCCACTGGAAAGTAAGCAAAAAGAGCAGTAGGAAAACGATAAAATCAGTAATTTGTTACAGTTGAAATATATTGCTCACAGTGAAAAGAGCGCTGAAAAGTGAAAATTATCAAATATGCAAATAGCTACATGGGATAAGTGCATTTCATCGTAAAATAGAAAGCTATATGATTTGAATAGATCTACGATGAATGGAAGATAGAAATATTTCCACCAATGTATTAAAAGATAATTTTGGTTGTTTATTACTTTTGAGCATTTCAAATCAAAACCTAAATTTTGCACGACTTTCTCTGATTTGGATTCATACTTTTTCCACAGGACAAGAGACCATTTCAAAAGGGCGTATGTGGTTTTACTTATGTATTATTAACGAAATTGTGTCTGAAAAGGAGTTGTAGAAAATCAAATTGACTTTGTAAAAAAAATATGCAGGGTCGAAATTTTTTTTTTTATAGAACAAACCAAATTTGAAATACAAAGAACCGTTTACGATAGTGCGTAAGATTTTTTTAGTTTTTTTTTTTCTACAGATTAAATTTCATAAAAAGTCATAGAAATCATAAGAAAAATAATGGTAGGTGTGCTAGGATGGAGCAATTTTAAATGAGAAAGTTTCTGGAGGAAAAACTTCGTATAATTTCAAATCAAATTGCTCTTGGTGATCAACATTCGAAATTCAACCATTATCAAGATTTGGTGTTTTATAAAAATACCATGTTATCACAAGACAGCCGTGTTTCTCCATATGAGCAATTCCCTACGAATTCGCAAATCGGTTTATTTCGGTATTTTTTGATTAGGTTGAAATTTTGCAGAAACGTTCCTTATGACCGACAATGCCATTATGCATCTTCATATTACCATTTTGAATCCAGCCTTATTTTTGAAAAGGGCATATAGAAAATATCAAGCTTATCTTCAGAAAAATTTTACTCGAAAACTGTTTGCCTGATCGGTTTGGTGTCTTGGGCAATATTGCAGATAATGGATGAGACTATTTGAAAAAAATATGCACTCTAAAAAAATTACCCAACTTTTTTTTAATTTCAAATAAAATCTTAAAAACAATTTTTCTTAAAAAAGGATTTTTTTGTATTTTTTTTTTTATTTGTTGATATGTTTTAGGGGACAAAAATGCCATCTATTGCATTGGTCAAGATGGAGAAATAATGAACAAAAAAGTTATGATTAAAAAAAAAATTAAGTTTTTGGAAAAAATATCCAAAACTTGGTCCAATTACTTGTTTGACTATATAATGAAAGTAAACCAAATTTACAATAAAAAAGCACCTGGGTAAAATTTTGCTAAGTCGCTCCGTTTTCGAGATGTAGCGGTGTGAAAGTAGATATTTTTTAAAATGTTAGTAGTTTTTGGCCATTGTTGAATGTATTTCGCAGTTCTCCAGTTCCAAAAATATTTTTTTCAGAAAGATCAGAAAATTTTACATTAAAAATTACATTTTAAACACATCTACTTTCAAACCGCTACATCTCGAAAACGGTGTCACTTAGCAAAATTTTACCCATGTGCTTTTTTATTGTAAATTTGGTGTACTTTCATTATATAAAGCCGAAACAGTTATTGGACCAAGCCTTGGATATTTTCCCAAAAACTTGAGTTTTTTTTTTAAATTATAACTTTTTTGTCCATCATTTATCCATCTTTACCTATAGTGCAATAGATGGAATTTTTTGTCCCCTAAAACATATCAACAAAGTAAAAAAATCTCCTTTTTTGAGAAAAATTGTTTTTAAGATTTTATTTGAAATTGAAATAAAAGTTGGGTAATTTTAATAGTCTCATCCATTATCTGCAATATTTCTCAAGACACCAAACCGATCGGGCAAACAGTTTTCGAGTAAAATTTTTCTGAAGATAAGCTTGATATTTTTCTATGTGCCCTTTTCAAAAATAAGACTGGATTCAAAATGGCGATATGATGATGCAAAATGGCATTGTCGGCCATAAGGAACGTTGCTGCAAATTTTCAACCAAATCAAAAAATACAAAAATAAACCGATTTGCGAATTCGTAGGGAATTGCTCATATACAGTAATAGATTTTTTAAATGTTCAAAAAATTCCCTGCAACCCTTCTTCTGACTTTAAGAATATTGGACAAGCTTTTTTCAAGCAACGGGTAAATACAAAAGTGCAACAATATTATTTTCTATGCCCTATGGGGTATCTCCATACAAGGTGGGGAGCAAACATATTTTCTGGCTTATCATGCATTGTTTGACATTTTCAAATTAATGATAAAAAATCTTTCCAAGACCCTGAGAGCCTCAAAGTTCTCCGAATTGTCCTGGAGTTAAGATCATGATCAATGTTGTTTGATATGCACTTTCACGACGTATTCAACACATCATCAGTCAGAGCTTTGAAAAGCCTCATGATAACATGTACAATGCACAATGTGTGCATCCTTGAATGGTATTACAGTCCTACCTCGATATAACGTGACTTAATTTTTCATGTCGTTACGTTACATCGAAGTTATGATACATCGAAGTAATACATACATTTCGAAAAAAAATGGATAAATGTGGAGCATACACCCAACCGAAGGATGTAAGATTTGCTTACAATTATGAGGGATTCATAACGGAGGATGCGATATACCGAGCTGCGGTCCAATGCAGGAAAATGGAGCAAGAAAAATGTGGAGTGTGTTAGTGAGTGAAATGAATCATGTCGAAAAAAATAGAAAAAGGTTGTCGACTGGATTCGAACCACGAACGTTGCGATTAGCAGGACCTGTACTTTCTCCACTGCTCTCTTCATGCTTCGGACTTTGGATAGGCTAAAAGCGAATAAGAGGCGCTCATTTCCTCTCATATTCGACTTCGCATGCTTTCTCTGCTGAACGGGAATTGGAGGGAATCGTGGCAAGTGTGTGCGTCGTTTTACAATGTTATAAATAAAAAATCCAAAGTCGAAAGCGAAGACAGAACACGAAATAAAAAAAGATAAAAGATGATAACATCGTCTGCATGGTCAACTTATACCATTCGCTGCGGAGAATAGGATGATAGGGAATGCAACAATGTCATATATTTTTGATTTGCGTGTATACCTATTCTAAACAATCAGATTTTCGTTACATATAGGTATGACTGTAATACGATATTTGATGCTCTCCATACCTTTCTGAATTTAAGACCTTGAAATTCTACAGACTCGACGAAGTCTTGAACAATTTCTAGAAAATTCTTAGGGAGTCCATGAATAACATTGACAACATGCACATCATGGAATGGTATCAATATGATATTTAATGCTCTCCAAACTATACTGGAGTTGAATATCTCGGCTGGGCAACGGTTTTAGCCAACATGTTTTCTTGAAAAAGCGCAGGGGAAAGTCTCCAGCCAAAGCATTGAAAATTAAATTTCATTTTTGCATCAAAATCGTTCGTTTAATCCACGAATCCATTCGTTGATATCTACAACTTGCTACTGATTTTATTTCATATAAGGAACGAATGATTCATAAAATAAATACGAATTTATTATGTTTATAGAAAAAAAAAGAACAAAACATTCGAATACTCAGTAATGAAAAAAGCATGAATTGTACGAAAATAGTACAAAAGCAATCGAAACTCTTGTAAAAAATATAGTGCATTTCTGGTTATCGTTGCATGTGCGAAAGCATTTTGTATGAACGTGCATTTACTAGGGGAATTGCACCAGTATTGGCGATAGGTTCCTATTTTGGCCACACCTTAGAAAACCGATTAAATTACAATATTCGTGTATTTTGTGGTCGTCATGATAATGTGCAGCTATCCCTCGAAGAACGCGTTACCCACTGATTTGCACCCACCGCTTTTTCTCGGCGGGCTTCAGCCAGTCGGTCTGATTTTTTGCAGGTGAGTAGTGCCAATCGAGAACTAGTCACTCGCAGAAAATCAGAGCGCTTGGTCGAAAACCCACCGATACAAAGCGGTGGGTAGCCAACGCCGGTGGTGTAGTGGTAAGCGTGACTGCTTTCTAACACCCCAATGGGTCTGGGTTCAATCCCAGTCGAGGTCGGTGGGATTTTTCTGAGGCATAAAAATCTCTGGTCACGTCTTCGTTCGGAAGGGAAGTAAAGCCGTTGGTTCCGGCCCATGTGTGTTGTGACTGGGTGCGATATCCTACGCAGGTGTGGAAGCTGCCTTCCTGCACATTCGGTTGCCGTCAATGGATGGCAATCGATGTCCGTCGGTGATTGACACTAGATTGCGGAACAGAGACCGACGTTAAATAAAGGGAAAAAAAGCGGTGGGTAGAACTCAGAGGGTAACGCGTTCTTCGGGGGAAAGCTGCACACTGATAAATATGATTTGTACCGACAAACTGAAAGCAACTGAACATCTCAAAATTGTAAACAACGTGAAATATCGTCAAAAGGTGGCCAATATAGGAACATGGCCAATACTGGAGCGGTTCCCCTATTTAATTCCAGAAATGAATTGTATTAATAATTTTAGCTCTTCGCATTATCATACGAGGACAAAATCATACTAATATCAACGAGTCCTGAAGAATCACTTTATATAAAAGACAGCCAGCCTCCTTTCCCTTCGCTTATAATCTCATCTACAACATCAACTCGACAGATCCACCTTCCCGAATGGTTGTAAAATCATCTATCTCATTCACATCAGCATCACTTACAGCAACAACATTGCTGTAGCATTGTGCCAGATGAAAATAGGTAGATCCATTTTTACGATACGAGCATTAGAGAATTACCGAAAAATCACCGCCAATCGATTCAGCAGACTTTTTTTTTTATTTATTTATTTATTTATTTATTTATTTATATGACTGAACATCAACAGGCGTTATTTGCCCCAATGATGTAACTTAAACTAAACATGAAACGTACTAAAACTAAACATCAATAAGTACATAGATAGTCATCTCGTAAAAAAAAGGAACATTACTAAACAAACTAAACTGATTAAGAAAAAACAAACTAAACCTCCGGCGAAGCAGCTGGCGAGTC